TGTCCCGAGCCCAGCCCCCACCGAGAAGAGTCTGGGGCAGCCCTGGCTCCAGCCCGCAGCAGGCAGATCAGGGGGCACATGCCCCCCCTCCCCCATGCCCTCCCAGGGTGCGCGCAGTGGTGGAAGGCAGCCCCTCCCCACCTCTCCCGAGCCACGGCTTTATCCCACACCCACCCTACTCCATCTGGGTAGCACCTGCCTCTGCCCCCTCCCTGCCATATCACAGGGGGCATTGATCTGCCCCCCCCAGCCCCTTCCCCCCCCTTCTGCCACAACAGACTTGCCCGTGAGTGCGCGCAGTCGCAGCACAGCATGCAGGTAGCGAGGAGCAGAGCCTAGCAGCACGCAGCTGGTATTTAATTGGCCAAATCATTGGCCACTTCAGGCCAATTTCCAATACAGCCAATTTTCTTCATATGGGTACCAATCTGATATATCGATGCACTTCTAGAAAACAGGGTTGTTTATCTCACAGAAAAAACTGATAAATCAGGAAATGCCCATACTGCAGTATGTTTAAAAGAAACAGCAGTAAAAGCTGCAACTGAGCAAAAATTCAAGTGTCACATGCGTACCCTTATCACAGATAACTCTGCAAACGTAACAAAAATGACAAAAAAATTAAGAGATAATGTAGCAAACTTGAAACTTATAACATATGGGTGCAGTACTCATTTGTTGCATCTTTCAGCCAAATCTGTAAGTACTCTAGGAATAAAGGAAAATGTTGAAATTGCAAAAAATTTCAGTAACAACCCTTCAACTTCACTAAAGACAGCTGGGGTAGCCAAGCTAATTCTCCCAAAAGATATACAATAGAATTCATTGGTTAACTGGTTTTGAGCTATTTATTAAGAATTGGCCTATTCTGATGACCATTTGCAAGAAAAATTGTGACAAAATTGACAGATGTATCACAGCTAAAGTAGTAAATATTGGACTGAAAAGAAATGCAAATACATTAAAACCTATTTCAGTAGCCTTGAACAAACTACAGAAAGATGGCTGCTGTACTGTGGATGCTACTGACATGTGGAAAGAACTTCAAGAAGCAGTAAAGCATGAAATACTCAACAAAGTTAAAATGCAGGCAGAAGAGAAACAGATGGACCAAACACTTATTCCGTCTGATTTTCTTGCCAATATTCTTAACACAAAGTACCAAGGTAGATGCCTAATTCCCAAAGAGGAAAATACTAAAACATGGGCATCTACTAATCACCCATCGATCATGCCAATAATAATCAATTTCAGGGATAGAAGTAAACCACTGAAGCATTACACACTTGCTGAGGATGTTTTAAAGGAACTCACACCACTTGAACTGCTGAAAGTCACTAGCAAAGCACCTAGAGCCAGAGTTTGTCGAAATACTAAACAAGCTTTTACCAGAGTCTACAGGTGCAGAAAAAATATTTTATTCCTTTGAACTAGTTCACTCCAAGTGAAGAAACTGATTTTCAGTTGAAAAAGCCAAAAAGCTTGTTTTTCTCTTCCAGTCTATGAATAAAAAGGGGAGGAGGATGAGATTTGAGTTCTAAAAACTTAAAAAAAATAAAAATAAAAACTTTCAGAACAGTCTAGAGTCTCATATTTTTTATGAAAGAGAATTAGAAAAGTAAGAACTTACGCTCAAATAGCTTTCACCTTGGCATTTCAGAAAATTTTCCCAGGATGACCTGAAAAAAAAAAAATGGTTTAATTTACTAATGACCATTCACACTTCTAATAGTATAACAGTTAATACTAGTGTTTACTAAATTAGTCAGTTGTAAACATGCATGTTTTGATTTTTTAGAAAAGTTTATGTATCCACAATATTAAAGTTTTGTTTATTATATTTGAAGTAGTGGTTTGTGCATTTAATTACATTCAAGTTGCCATCTTAATGCAGCTTGATAGGAATATGCACAAAAAGTTAATCATCTAGTGAATAAATATATTTTTCACCATTTTATACAGAACTAAATGTAAGATTTCTAACAATTCAAATAGGTTACACTATATATTCTTATTCCTTTTATACACACATACATATATATTATATATGCACACAGCTCGTGTTCCTAGGAATCATATACTAAATCTACTATACAAACTGTATTTAGTTGTAAAAATTAATGCGTTTTAATTTTTACATCAACCAATGAAAATAGTCCTTTCTTTAAAAAAACAAAAACATACAGTGGGAAAGTTGATAAAAATCAATTATTTAAATTGATCATTGGGCAGCTGTTGGCTTCCTTATTTAAATCATGATTCAAATAGACTTAATTTAAATAGATTCACTCTGCAAAAAATACAAGTGAACATTTGCTGGCAAATAGATGCTGTTTCTAAAGAGGAAAACTCTCTCCTGGTTCACCTCCAGGAACTATCTCCTTCCTTTTCCTGTCACAACTGCATACTGGTCACTTGTCACTCTATCACCACATACAGAAGAGATGTGCTATCACCACAAAGGGAAGGTGTAGATAAGCAAAGTAGGTTGCTGATGGCAGCAAACCAAGAGCTACTCGTACATCAGGAAAGGAACAGCCCACCCTATTCAGAAGATGATCCTTCTGGCATTTGTTTTTCTCTGCCCCTGTGACCTTAAACTTTCCTGACTCAGTGAGTGACCACGTTAACCATGAGATCTCTCAAGTGGCAAAAAGGTTATGGATCCCCAGTAAGAGAGATGAGGGGCATTTCTCATACTGCCCCAAAGCCACTACTATCTTTAAACAGGAAGTGCAAGCTAAGACGGGAAGAGGAAACCACAACCAGTAAAGCAAGCTTTACACACTTTGAGACTGACTGCAGCTCATCAAGAGGGCTATAAACAGCTATGATAAAACACAAACAAAAAGAGCCATAGTTTGAATATACTGAGGAGGCAAGGATGGGGAGGAGAACTCACTGCCTCATAGCATATTCAGAAACCTAGAGGAAGAGTAGGTAATTCAATTGTGAGCCATGTTGTATCCATGGGGAACCTGGGTTGAGTTCTCTTGAAACAAATCACATTTAAGTAGAGGTGCACCCAGAGCTGACCCAAGCAAGGTGCAGGGCCTGGGGCAAATCAGCCCATGCGGGCCCCGTCCCATGAGTCCCAGACCAAAGAAGTGGGGGGGGGGGGGGTAAGTGAGCAGCTGAACACCGACCCACCACGCTGCCGCTGCCCTGCCCTACTCTGCTGCCCAAAGCGCAGGGCCTGAGGCACTTCGGTCCCACATCCTATAAATATCAAGGGATGTCAACCTGGCTCATTTCACCAGCAATGACATTTCCTTTGGAGAGAAGATTTTATCAACGCCAACCTGGACTCATTTGCTAGAGCGCATCCATGAGGGAGGCTGCAGAACTAGCCCTCCCAGCCACCTTCCTCTCCTGTTCTTGCCATCAGCACCACCAATATTTGTGCCGAGCCCCTTCACTCGCCCTCGCTGCAGCAGGACATAACAAGGAACCAGAACTCCTGGGCTCTCGGCCCAGCCGAGGCAGAAAGCAATGGCACAGCCTGCAAAGCAGGCCCTTCTGTCCCCGCACCTGCCTCAAGGCAGCAAGCCGGATGCAGCACGGCACACAAGGCCCCATCTTTCCCTGTCTGGACACTCCTGCAAGAGAAGCACGACAACCCCTTCGCAGGACAGGGGCCAAACCGATCCCAGCTGCCAGCCCTGGAGCCCCGCGCCCCCGTGGTGATCCGCAGCGGCGACGCGCGCCCTCAGGCTCCGGCCTCCGAACCTGTCACGTCAGCCGGGAGAACAGGCCCTGCCGCCTCCCGCAGCCCGGTCCGGCCCGGCTACCACGGGCCCCGGGAAGAAGACGACCCCCCTCCCCACAAGTGCGACAGGCTGCAGCACGAGCGCGGCCGCAGCCCGAGCCCCCGGACATCCCCGCCGGCCCCTGCGGGAGACTCCTCCCGGCGTCGCTGCGCCTGCCCCTAGCCGCTCACCAGCAGCCCCGGCCGAGGGCCGCGCGCCTCTCCCCCGAGGGGGTCAGATCCGCCGCCCCGCGCTCTCCCTGCCCGGCCGGGGCCGAGTTGACGCTGCGACCCCCCGGCTCCGGCTCCGGCGGCCCCAGCCACCCGCTCTGCACCGTCCGAATCAACAACAAGATGGCGGCGCCCGAGAAGGCGGAGACTCAACCGCCTGCCGTCATAGCAACCGCGCCGGCCAAAGCCCGCCTCCCCGCGAGTAGCATCACACCCAGCGCGAACCCCGCCCACCTAGCGCACAATCTGAGTTCTGATAGGCTCTGATAGCTGTCATTCAGCGACAGGGCAGCCTCGGCCCCCGCCCCTGGAATTTTGATACACTCTGCTTACACACGATGCGCGAAAACACCCGCAAGCTGCGACTGCCCATTGGCCACCGCCATCAGGAGCCGGCCAATCATGGCACAACGTGGGAGCCCGGGAGACGTGAGCGCGTAGTTTGCCGGTGAGTCTGCAGTGAGGCAGGGCGGGGCGGGGACGGACTCGGCAGAGCGGGGCGGGAATGCACCAGCCTTCGTGAGCGAGAGCCGTGCAGGGAGCTCTGCTCAGAGACCCTTTTTCCACCACCGATTCAGTTCGTCTGCAAGGCGCGTCTCTACCTTGCCTCTCCCCTGAGAGCCCTGGTAAGCGGAGTCACGCCCTCGCCCTTTTCCGAGGTCCTCTCTCCCGACTCTGCCCTGGGGACTGGCGTGAGCCAGCCCTGCTCCCTGGCCTCTCCGCAGAGGCTGTTTCTCTGATCCTGCTACGAGGACTGGAGTGAACCAGACCCTCCCGGGGGATCTGCCCTGCAATGCTGCTGCAGTCTGGCCATACCACTTGACTGAACCACTCCTCTGGAAGAACAGGCACCGAAGTACCTGGCAAATGAGCCTCCAAGATCAAGTCTGGCCTAAGAGCTTTAAAGTGGAGAATGAAGCCAGAAAGTTCTGTGAGACTTGCATCATTTATAAAAACATAAGTGTCATATTAGGTCAGAGCAATGGTCCATCTAGCCCAGTATCCGACCTCCAGCAGTGCCTACCTCGAGTGCGCCAGATTGCAGCCCCTCTTCCACCTCTTCCAGAACCTCCTGCTGAGGCTCTGGCTGCACTACTCCCTGCACCTTTTTTGTTATGTACTCCCCATCTGTGGCCCCACCAAGCTGCAGGACCTCCTGATCAACCACCTCCAGGCTCTGGCCAAGCTGTCCATCTATAAGATCAGGAAGGAGGCTCTAGCTGGGGAGAACCCAGGTGAATGTGGGGCTGTCTTCAGGTTACTCCATTTGCATCTTCAAGCAGAGTTTCATTGGTTGGTGTCTATGGGCTCCCTTGACACATTCAGGGAGCAGTGGGTGCTGGTCAGTGTGTGCTGCTTGGTGTCCCCTTCCAGATCACTTTTTATTAACCTATGTCATCAGTACCTTGATGTACATTTCAGGACATCAAATCAAGCAAGCACTTTTCACAAGGCTTTGCAACTGATGGAATCAAAGGCCTGAGTGAAGTCAGTGAAGGCCATAAACAGGTCCTGGTGCTGTTCCTGACACTTTTCTTGGACCTGGTGGGCAAAAAAGATCATGTCAGTTTTCTCATTGGATGGTCTAAAACAGGGGCAGGCCTGTTCAAACTCCGTTTCCCAGCAGCCCCTGCCTGCATTGCTGCAGCCAGTTTCTGTGGAGACCCCAGGAGTGGCAGAGCTGTGACAGCAGGGGGGCCAGGGTTTCCATGGAGACTGGCCCAAGCAGCACTGGCAGCAGGGGAACTGCTCCAGGGCCAGGATCCTGAGAAAGTGACAGCATGGTGCAGAGCTGGAGCACAGCTGCAATCTGCTGCGTGCTGCAGGGGCTTGCAGGCAATGGATGGCAGCTCTGCCCTGGCTCTGGACCACGCTGTCACCACCGCAAGATTCCAGCCCTGGCCGCAGAGCAGCTCCTCGCCCATCTGTGCACCCTGCCAGCACTGCTGCGGCTTGTCTCGGTGTAAATCCTGGCTCCACATTGTCATGGCTCGGCCACTTCTGGGGTCTCCATGGAAACCAGCCACAGCAATATGGGCAGGGGCTTCTGGGGAATGGAGTCCAGCTGCCAGCTGGATCCATCATTTTGCCCACCCCAGTCTAAAACTGCACTGAGACACTGGCAGGACTTCCTTAGCAAGAAGCAGAATATGGTTCAGGAGAATGAGGGCAAGGATTTTCCCTGCTGTACCTTTATACTTCCTGCATACACAGACTTATCTCCTTTCTTGAAGATAATCATGATGCTGACATTCCTCAGGTTCCCAGGGATCTCTTCATTGTTCCAAATTCATACAGTAAATTTGTGGAATCTCAGTACCAGTTCCTCACTGCCAGCCTTGTAGCTTCCAGCAGTATGCCATCCAGTCCAGTAGCTTTGTTGTTCTTGGTTTCCTTGATGGCATGCCAGACTTCTTCAAGGGTAGGAGGGTTAGTGAGGGAATCCCCTTTCAGGGTGTTGGGGGATGAACTCAATGGTGGTATCTGCCACATTTTCAGAAGAAAACCAAAGTACTAAAAACAACCATCCTTGACCTTCAATAGACCAACAGCTGTGGCATCCTTGTGCATACTGAGGAACACCTCTAGACTGCACTGGACCTTTTTGGGGAAGTCTTTCAAATTTTGGGCCCCTCTTTCAACATCAAGAAGACTAAAGTGCTCTATCAGCCTGCCACAGGCCATGAATGTGGCTCCCCAAATTGCCACTGAGAAATAGACCCTGGAGGTACTTAAGCACTTCCACTGCCTCAGGGCAAGCTGCTGCTGCAGGCTTTGCCATGGGTGCCTGCTTTTGTGAAGTCCAGGGTCCTTACTCTGCTGCTGTCCTTCCTTCCTTTCCTCAGGATCATAGGTGGAGGGAGAAAGAATTATTTGGGGGGCTAAGCACATGCATGCTCCCCAGCAGGTAAGTCTGTGGGGGAAGGTACAGGGGGAGGGGAAAGGGCTAGGGGAGGGGGTCAGATAGAGCAGTGATGGAGGGAGTGGGGCTGAGGCAGGCCCTGCAAAGCCTGGACAGCGTGCAGGACAGAGCTGCAAGTGGCTTGTCCAAGGGGGCCCCCTGGTACAGGGAGTGGGTGGTGGCTCCTGCTGCTGTGCACACCCCGGGAGGGCCTGGGGGATATGTGCCCCAGATCTGCATGTGGGACGGGGCAGGTTGCTGCTGTGGGCTGGGGCCAGGGCTGCACTGGCCTCTTCCTGGCGGGGGGTTTGAGCCGTGCTGCACTCAGGGTGGGCAGTGCCGGTGCTGGGAGGGAGGGCTGGGGGGGCTACGGTGAATTTTGGGGTGGCTGCAGCCTCCCCATAACTCCCCTCCCAGTGCCACTGCTGTCCACCCTGAGCGCAGTCCAGCCCAGTGCCACCCCCCCAAGAGGAGCCTGGTGTAGCCCTGACCCCAGCCTACAGTAGTAGCCCACCCTCACCCTGCGCAGGTCTGGTGACACATGCCCCCCATGTCCTCCTGGGTGCACGTAGCAGCAGAAGCTGCGCACCCGCAGACAAGCCACTTGCAGCTCCGTCCCGTGCAGCTGGGCAGCGCCTGCCCCAGTCCCAGCCCCACTCCCTCCCTCACCGCTGCATGTGTGCCCTCCTCCCCACCCCTGCTGCAGCCGCCAGAAGCCCCCAGCCAGGATACCTTGCCGCCCTACCACTGCCCCGTGTTTGGGGGGCTAGGCCCCATTAGCTCTCCCCACTTCTGTCACCTATGCTCAGGATCCTCAACTCAGTCATCTCATGGTTGCTGCTGCCCAAGTTGCCATCTATTACTACATTCCCCACTAATTCTTCCCTGTTTGTGAGCAGCAGGTCAAGAAGAGCATGGCCTTAATTGACCTCTTCAACACTTGCACCATGTAGTTGTCCTCAACATTCTCCAAAACTTCCTGGATTGTCTATGTGCTGCTGCATTGACCTCTCAGCAGATCTCAGGGTGATTGAAGTCCCCCATTAAAATCAAGGCCTGCGATCAGGAAACTTCTACTAGCTGTTTGAAGAAAGCCTCATCCACCACTTCCTCCTGGTCTGGTGGTCTATAGCAGACACCCACCACAACATCACCTTTGTTTCTGTCCCCTCGGACTCAGAGACTTTCAACAGGCCTCTCTGTTGTTTCATACTTGAGTTCTGAGTGATCATACAACTGTTTTACACACAGTGCAACCCCTTCACCTCTTCTCCCTTGCCTGTCCTTAACTAAATGGTTGGTAATCATCTGTGGCAGTACTCCAGTCATGTGAGCTATCCCACCAAGTCTCTGCTTTTCCAGTCATGTCATAACTCTGTCACTCTGCAAGTTCTTCCAAATCTTCCTGCTTGTTTCTCAGACTCCATGTATTCATGTGCAGGCAGCTGAGGTAACTAGCTGATGGCCTTACTTTCTCAAGAATAAGAAGGCCTCCCCTGTTGCCCTCTTCTGCTTGTGCTTCTCCAGGTCACCCACTCCCCCACTTACCTCAGGGCTTTGGTCTTCATTCCTCAGCAAGCCTAGTTTAAAGCCCTCATCACTAGCTTAGTAGGCCTGTCTGCGAAGATGCTCTTTCCTCATTTTATCCATCTCTTCCTAGCAATCCTTCTTCCTGGAAGGACATCTAGTGGTCAAAGAAGCCAAGGCCCTTCTGGCAATACCATCTGTGCAGCTACGCATTGATCTGCAGGATGCGTCTGCTCCTGCCCAGGCCCTTTCCCTTGACTAGAAGGATAGAGGAGAACACCACCTGAGCCCTTCACCCTTGCACCCAGAACCCTGTAGTCATTTTTGATCTGCTCAGGATCACCTCTGGCAGTATCATTGGTGCCCATATGGATGAGCAACTTAGGATAGTAGTCAGAGGGCTGAATGAGTCTCAGTAATCGTCCATGACATCTCATATCTAGGCTCCTGGCAAACAGCACACCTCTTTCTTCCTGACCCTCGTTCCAAGCAGACCTTCCCTAGCAAACTCCCCTGCAAGCTGGCCTGTTTGATGCTCCTTGCTCAAAAGGTTCCCTTTTCCCTGCTAACCTGCTTCCTCTCATCAAGCTTACAGTGAAAGAAGGTGACAATTTCCAGGCAAACTCTCTGGTAAACCTCACCTCGCTCTGCATTCTAGTTAAACAAGGGGCTCAGCTAAAGACTGAGATAAACATAGGGGCAGGGTTGTTTGTTTGTTTGTTTTT